GACGCTTCTCTGATTCGTCCAGGGATCTTACTTGAGCACTGAAGTTCCCAGCAAGTATCACGATGTCCGTTGACCGAGCACCCTGGAGCAGTTGAGAGGTCCTTGTAGAGTTTATCCTTCATTTCTGGCGAACTGCAATCAGTCGATGCATACATCGATTCGAAGAATAAGCATCGACACCTTGTTCTGTAGCTGCTGACCCTAACTGAACCATCCAGACGTACAGCGTAAAGTCGGTTACTGACCGGGATACAGTCGAGAAGTGAACTCTTCTCCTTGACACAGCGTAATCGCGACACCAGCAACACTGCGAGCTTCGGATGCCGATAGTCTGGCACATGGTGTGTAGCGTGAGGACGAGGTCGGATCTGGAGATTATAAGATGACTGAGGTATCGTCTTGTGTGCGTGTTTCGGAGATGCAGCTTACATCTAAATTAGAAGTTTCAATGGTTCTGGCTAAGGCAGCTTGTTGACCCACCTGATAGTGTGCGGACATTGGATGCGGCCAAGTGAAAAAAAAGACTTTAGTCTCAAAAAACTGACAGTATCTGAGCAATTGACTTCATTATTTGAAAGCTGAGTGGTATCTCATGAGTGGCGCAAACAGGATGCATCTCTTAAGATTTGGGAGTGAGAAGAGGATTTTCCAAGTGGGTACCCAAGACTTTGGGCACGACATACTTCGCCGTAGCCCACACCGATGAAGGGGTTTCTCTTTGGGAACCCTAACCGGAGCCTTCGACTCAAGTCTAAACCATAATGCAGTGGGGCGTAGATCCAACGCAGGACCGCGATCGAAGCACTCGTGTGGGAGCTTCTGGAGACCTGTCACGCAAGGCCTCTGAATTTCGGTTCAGTGCTGTCTGCTGGTGCGTTCGATGACAATCTGCTTTTCGGGATTGGCCCTTGGTCTCGTGCACCCAATGAGATAGGTGCAACGTGGACGGGGCAGCACTTTATTGGCTGTAGACTGCCCAGCTTGGGAGGGCGATAGCTGTCCAATGAAGTGTGAAGACTTCTTCCACCGTCAGGAAGAAGTCTCAGGTACCTCCTACTACTACGTCCATCTAGCGGGGTTATTTTGACCGCTAAACTGCTTCTTCCCGGGTGTATTTGCCGTAGTGATCGCTCAAGGAGAAACAGTGGATAATTAAAGCCAGGTGCCGAAGCAGCTAGCATTGTGAGACGACTTCCTCTGGCCTACTGACCTTTCAGGCATGATTGGATCTGCGGTTGTGAGGAACCATCCTGTACAGCTCGCAAGGCCATGGAGGCACGCAAGTCATCACACCACGTCAAGGTACACTCTCGTCGTGATGGAATAGAGAATGCTGCTAGGCTGTCTAAGCCAAAGCAGGTGATTTCTTTGATGAAAAGAAAGTTTTTGAGATGGAGCGAGAAAACGGTAGTTCATTGATATCGGTGTTCAATCAGTCGGATCCTGTCTTCTGGGAGTGGTTTACGTTTCCAGGTTGCCCAATACGCCTAATCACTTCACCGAGACGCTTATCATTTCGACCATTATATCCAGTTCAAAGGCTTCATCTTCTGAGGTTTGAAATCAGGGTTCTCTAGCTCTCCTAGACTAGCTAGCTGCCCCGGTTCACCAAAGTGACTATCTTATAATATATTAGCTGTTCGCCCTCTCACTGAAAACACGCCACAGAAGGCTGTGAACAGGACTCCCTCAGGAGACGTATTAGGAGAAGCATTCTATAAACAGTTAATAATCCATAGGTGTTCCGGATCATTTCGAAAAACTTGGGCGTTGTGCTCATGGTAACAATATAATCATTATATTACCATTTCTTAGGGTGAGAACGAGGCCTCACCCAAGCTCAGAAGCTGGGTCAATATGCGATCAGAGAGAAGCAGTACTCCTACTTGCACCGCCTTGTCTCCTTGGTGCATCTAAACTGTCTTTGGTCGTCAACTGTCACTCCACTTTCACTTGTGGCCCCAAGAAGCTGCTCCCCGGTGGACAGTGTTCGGTTGGAGACAGATAGTAACTACAAACTGCGCGTCAGACACTGAGGTGTGATTTATTCGGAGTTAAGTAACAATCAGAACAACAG